AGATATGTTCATTTTAAAATTGCAATTATTAAATACTTGTCATTATCTAGATAATCTTTTTTTTTTGCCATAATATCTTGAGGCCTTAACATATCACAATATGTTAATTTTTCCAGGATGTGATCGAAATTATTATTGGCATTAGAAGCTATAGTGGTAAAATAAAAGATAAAATCAAAGATAATGATCATTTATTTACCAAAAAAAAGATAATTATCATTTAGATTAGAATGACAATTGGAATGCATCAGAGAGGTAGTTTGTTAATATTCTGATATTATCTTCTTCTTTTTTTTGAAGCTGTGAGATACAATGTTAATTGGAATGGCAATATGAGAGAGAAAGAGAGAGATACTAGATTGTTAGGAATTTTAGGAGAGAGAGAGTAGATTGTTAGGAATTTTAGGGGAGAGAGAGAGAGATTGTTAGGAATTTTAGGATGATAAGGTTTGAATGCAACGACCAAAAACGGTTATCTTCGAATGACAACTCATGGGGTGACGTTCTAACTGATATTCGAAGCAATGTAAAAATGCAAACAAAAGTCTTTGAATAATGAACAAATAATTAAAGATTTCAGCTTCCTAACAACAGAGCCCTAAAATAAATAAAAATACTAAAATTTATACTTAAGGAAAAATCTTTCTTTAATGGATATAAATCATTGAATTTTGAGACCCATGATTTTGAGCCTTCTTTCTCGGCTTAACAATTTGAGAGTCCATATGCATTAGCCCAATTTTATGGGAGAGAATTGTGGCTTTTTGGAGACCAATAAGAGCATTAGAGTTTGATTGAATGGAAAGATAGGGGAAAATATAGAAAAATAACATTTGCCCATATTTCAAGAGAGAGAATTGTGGATTTCAAGAGAACAGTGGGAGACATACTGTTTGATTCAAGAGGAAAATGGGCAAGTGGAGCTTCAAACTTGCATAAGCACCTTTCAATCAGAGAAGTGTGGGTCCAAATTTGGACAAGTACCTTCCATCTGTTTAGATTAGAAAGAAAGATAATAGATGATTGTGAGCATATGAAATGTTTTAAGTTTATTTAATTTAATGGTACATTTTACTCGTATTGAATTGAACATTAATATTTCAACGTGTATGTGACACTTAGAGACACCTCATGAAACTAAATGTAGCAATTTGAAAAAATAAACAAACCAAAGTACCTTTAAAACATTCAACTGTATCTTGTTTGAATTTTTTGGTAAATCAACGTCGATTGTTTTTTTATTTAAAAAATAAGTCAAAGATTGGGACCTTCCCAAAAAAACTAAATCAACCAAGATACAATTGAATGTTTTGAGGGTATTTTGGTCAATTATTATTATTATTATTATTTTTTGTTATATATTTTTAAGTGTACCTCACTAAGAAGAGTTATGCTCAAAGTTTTCAGTGAATCATAATCACGCTCAAAATTTTTTTTGTTATTCCACATAAACGGTAACTATCCATTTTCTTCTCTTCTAATATGTACCATTGTGTGGTGCATAGTGTTCACAAAATCGAACCGGAATGGTTAATCGGAGATGGGGCTAAGAGCGGTTTGAACCGGAACCGAACTAACAGGGGTGGTTAAACGGACTAACCAATCAAGTAGATTTTTTTGAAAAAAAAAAGTGTTAAAAACTCCAAAAAAAATTTTAAAAAATAGAAATATTTAGATTTAAGTGTATAATATCTTTTTACATATATTTATCTTACAGAAAAAATTGAAACAAATTTTTATAAATTAATATTCAAATACTATAGTCTGTACATGAAAATATCTTAAAATAGTTTTTGAAAATATTTTGGTCATGTAATATTTTCTTCCAAGAATTAACATATTTATACCATTAGGTATTGAGGGGCTTATTGAAGGAATGACGAAAATTTTCAAAAACCTAAAAAGTCCACCATTTCAATCCAAGAAACTCTTTCTTTTTCAATGTTTAAATCCAAATTACTTGTTTTATACTCATTACATAGAACCATTAGGTATTGAGGAGAATATTGAAAGAATGATGGAAATTTTTGAAAACCTAGAAATTCTGCCATTTCAATCCAATAAACTCTTTTTTTTTCAATGTTTAAACCCAAACTTGTTTTATATTCATTATATAGTGATTTAAACCATTAAAACACAAAAACAAAACCACAAAATGACCACAAACCGAATAAAAAAAGGTGAAAATTGATTCACAATTTTCCTGCTAAATATAACAGTCTATATTTCAAAATAACGTTGTTATCTATAAATTAGCATTATTTGTTCTAAAACGCCATTATATCGACAAACCAGTCCGATTAGCTAAAAACCAGCCAGTTTTGAAAAAATACCGCTGGTTCGACATCGAACCGGCCAATTTTGCTATCGGTTTTTTTTGGAGACGGACATCTATTGAGTAATACTGCAAAACTAGCTGTAACCGGAGTCGGTACCTTGCCCAGCCAATTTTACGAACATGGTTTTGCATCGAAAGAGAATAGTGAGAGAACAAAATAATTTATTTTTTTTGTCCTTAGATGTTGGTACTATATGTTGGATGCTTAAATTGGTTGGTTAGGGTTGTCATTTATCTTTTATAAAGATGGGAGAAATATATTATTTTTTTTTCCTACCATCTATTTTCAAAACCTTTGGTGTAGATTGAACTGTGTATCATAAACTCGGAGGTGGTGGACGATGGATGCCATTCATGCCGTTCCTTAAATGCATGGTCTCCATGCACACATCTAAGCGACAGAGAAGCTTATCATTATATCCAATAACCCTATTGTTTAGTTGGTGGGTTTTATCACTTATGTCTTAGAGTTCATATTATATCCTTAGACATAAGTGAAGTTTATCACTTTATCTTGTTTTCTGATTTGCAGTTTTATCACTTTAATCAGATATAGATAGAAAGGACTAAACACGGGTGGGCGGCTAAATGCAAGGAGAGATACTAATGCGACTGAAATGAAGGAGAGGTAGCAGTGGACCCAGACCCTACGGGTTGAACCAACTAGGGTACGGGTATGGGTAAAAAGAGTGGACCCTGTGGGTTGTTCTAAGAATTTAAGAAAGGTTAGGTCGGCACATAATCGCCTAAGAAAACGGCTGAGTTTAGAAGGGAACCGGCGGTTCCGCACAATAAAACAATGATTCTCAACAGTAAAACGGCGATCCAGACCACTGATTCACTAATCCGAACCCGTTTTTGGCTTCTTCACTGCTTTTTTGCATAGTGAAATGGCGATCCGGACCGCCGATTCACCGATCCGGACCAATTTTTTGGGTGCCCGATCCCAGTCACCGATCTATTTTTTAAATCACTGATATTTAATATGTGAATTTAAATAATATTTAAATAAATATAACTACATATTTTTAATTATAATATTTAAATAATACATGTGTATATTTAACAAATTTATGAAATACATTTGAATATATAAATATTTTGATTTTTTTGTCGGATCCAAATCCAGCAATATATTTTCGGGCCCACATCTACATCTAGGTCCAAATATATTATGGAACTAGACTGGACCCATATTTCGAGTCTGTGTCCCCTAATATTCTGGAACCGAACCTGACCTGACCGGACCCGACCCTGACATTTGCCACCCAGGAGCCTTTTCAAAGAGATAGACTCATCCAAAAGAGAGATGGTCACGTAGAGAGACTCATGCACGTTAGAGGGAGATGGTGACGTGGTAACGGATATTCTAAGAATGGTGGAAGAAACTCAATAGAACAGAAGTAAAAAAAGAAAGTTTCTTTTTTTTTTCATAAAAAAGAATAGAAGTAAAAGGATAAAGAAATAGAGTACGAAAAAACGGCTTGCATGCATGAGAGAGAAAAAACATCACAACCTTCCCTTACACGTTCAAGGGGAGGCTCCAACGGCCAAGCACTAACTGCCTAGGCCCCTTAATTTTCGGATTCTATTTTAACCTCATTAATTAATTTTATTTACTTTTAAAAACGTTTTGTTTCTTAAATAAATTGTTTAAATATGTTTTGAAAATTCGTTTATAAACAATTCGGATTCCAACTATATTTTAAAAACGGTATTAAATAACTTGATTTTTTACTCTTTCTTAGTTATGGGTTAGTGACTTAAGGCTTTATTTTTTTTTAAGGAAAATAATTTAAATAAGTAAAGCCTCACCTTAAAACGCATAGAAAATTGTAGTTTGGAGTCGGAAAACTTCAAATTGATCATCTCGGCTTAGACCATGGTGGATGTAAAAAAAATTAGGATTTCAAGCCTTAAAAATAATATATATAATAATATATTATTTAGATTTTTTTTAAATTCAAATTTCATAATTGGTATTAGAAATGGATTTTAAAATCATCATGGAGGTTTTCAACGACCAAAATACTTTTTAGACGATGATTCAAAGTGAGGCTTGGGCGCGTAAAGCCTAGGCCCTCTAGAAACTGCATCATTTTCTAAATCTCTTGTATGCTATTTCAATAAATTTTAATTTACTAACAAATAGTTTATTGATTAGCTTATGAATTATACATCCACAATCTTATAAATATCATACCTCACCTCAACATTTTCTACATAGCCACTGGTTTTCTGTTCCTCCTTTAACACCCTTTTATCTCCTTCATCCCACTAAAAACCTGTTGATTTTCCTCTCCACTATTTTGATCTTCCTCCTCCCTCTAGTGGAGATGAAGTACGTCTTGCTGATCATTCTCTCCCTCCTCTTCACACTCGGTAGCGCCGACATCGATGTTACATAGTTTGGAATGAAGGCCGATGGAACATCTGACGACTGCGGTACCTTTACAAAGGCATGGAACTCGGCTACCCTTCATGTACTGGCCGGAAACTATCTACTCTATCCGACCACCTTTGGTGGACCATGCAAAAGTCCAAAAATAACAATAAATTTGGAAGGAAATTTGATTGCTTCTACTGATATTAACAAAGTAGATGATGGGTCATGGCTTAGGTTTGAACTCGGATTTCAACTCCAACGACTCGACTACCCTTCATGTACCGGTCGCAAACTATATACTCTATCCGACCACCTTTGGTGGACCATGCAAAAAATTTGGAAGGAAATTTGATTGCTTCTGCTAATATTAACAAAGTAGAGGATGGGTCATGGCTTAGGTTTGAGAATGTTGAAGGGCTAGAGATTAACAAAGTAGAGGATGGGTCAGGGTTAGAGATCAATGGGGGGGTATTGGATGGGAAGGGAGCCCGCTATTGGCTTTACAAGGAAGATGATGGAGATTGCCCTGTGGGCTCAAATGTAAGCATGATAGGGGTATTTTGGTCATTTTTTACTTTGATTATTTTATGAGGATAGTTTTAGTTATTTTTTTATTGGGGTCAGGGATTTTTTATTGGCCAATCAGTGCAGTGGTATTAATCTTTTGATTTGATTTTTCAAGATGGGTTTAAAGGGATGTTAATGGTAATTTGTTCACTTTGAATAGGGGTATTCTGAATTATCCTTTAGCGTTCATTTTGCTGGAGGGGTTTTAAATGGCTCACCTGTATTTTTCGTATAAATATATCCAAAGTCTAGATTGAGGATTACACAAGCAAAAGAGAATTGTATAGAGTTATATACATGGCTCATGTTTCATGATAAAAAAGACAATTATAAGTGCAAGAAAATATTTGAATTGATGATCTCGACTTCGAGAATTATGTACTTCAAAAATTGAGGATTTAAAACCTAAAACATGATATATCTTGTAATACATTATATGGACCATCTTTTTCTAAAGTATGTATAAATCCATGAAATCTATGATGTTTTTGGTGTTTTAAATTAGTGTAGAAATAGATTCAAAGGCCCATCGTAGAGATCTTCGATGCCAAAACTACCTTTTGCTTAGTTCTTTTTGAGGTAAATGATGTGCAGATTTACTTTCTAAACTATACCTTATACTAAGAAAAGAGTTTGGGCTTAATTGGTTAACACTTGATGATTTGTAATGCTACATCCTAGGCTCAATTCCTACCAAGGGTAGGGGCTCTCTCCTCACTAACACATCCCCCAAAAAAAAAAAACAAGAAAAAAAGTCTACCAAGGGTAGGGGCCCTCTCCTCACTAACACACCCCCAAAAAAAAAAGAATAAAAAAAAGAAAAAACTGGACCTTATACTAACACACCATTATGTATACATACATGGATAGATTATATAAGGGAAAGAAATAGTGATATGACCTATATATTTATTAAAACTATGGATTTGAAATTTGTCCTCATACTTAATACAACAAAATTCAATCTCACTTAAGTAACTGTCTTTTCATTATTTTATTTGTGTTCCCGGCGTAGAAGCGTAATTGGGTTTCAATGATTATAGGGCGTAGAAGCGTAATTGGGTTTCATTCAATGATTATAGGGCACATTCTGTTGGGGGAGAGGAATGGTGATATGACCTATATATTTATTTAAAACTATGGATTTGAAATTTGTCCTCATACTTAATACAACAAAATTCAATCTCACTTAAGTAACTGTCTTTTCGTTATTTTATTTGTGTTCCAGGGGTAGAAGCGTATCCTCATATTTAATACAACAAAATTCAATCTCACTTAAGTAACTGTCTTTTCATTATTTTATTTGTGTTCCAGGGGTAGAAGCGTAATTGGGTTTCATTCAATGATTGTAGGGCACATTCTGTTGGGATTCAACTGTCTCATTCCAGTTTTGAATGCAAGTCATTTTTTCTATCACACTTTTTCCTAAGTGTTCTTGTTTTGAATGCAGTCTCTAGTCTTCAACAAATGCAAGAATGTAAGTGTAAACAACCTCACGTCAATGAGCAGCAAAATGTTTCACATTATTTTTTATGAGTCAGGAAGGGTTAGAATTTATGGTGTAAAGGTCAGAGCCCCTGCTAATAGGCCTAATACTGATGGTATTCATGTGGAAGGATCAAGTGATGTCCTCATAACAGATGCAAATATACATACTGGAGATGATTGTATCTCAATTAGACCAGGAACACATGATATGTGGGTTGAGCAGGTGACTTGTGGGCCGGGATATAGCATCCAGTAAGAATCCTTATAATATTTGAGTTTTGATTAGGGTTTGGCCCCTTTGTTGAGTAGTTAAGCTCATTGCATAAAAAATCACCAGTTTGATTGAGGACTAATCTAGTATAACTGGATTGGGAGTGAAGCGATTCTGAGCCTAAAAAAGGGAATTGCCCAATTTTCCTAATCTTTCTATAGTGTTTAGACTTTACATATTGAAATTGCCTAGCTCAAGTCTGACCGGTCATGCTAAGGTTTCGACCCATAGTGAGACCAATCCCAAGCCTGACTTTTTAAACATAGGGCTTCACATATGGTCGTGAGTTTGTATCCTAGACTTCTATAGTTTTATGATGTTGACTAGAATTTGTGGTTTCTAATCAGCCATCACATACTTATGTTAGATATTTGTGAACTCTAATCCTCTCTTGCACAAATTCTCCTTTTGAATAACAATAACATAGAAAAGAAAGCCTACCAAATCGTACAAGAGCTAGAATTTCATTGCTTTGAAATAATTCATATATTACATGCAAAGGCTTAAGTACATTTTATAATAAGTAAATAAATGAATAAACATTTTTAAAATATATAAATAAAGCTATTATAATACATTAATATATTTTCTTTTGGTGCAAAAGGATTACAATCATCCTTATCTGTCAGATATACAATTAGGTAGATGGGAGTGAGTCGGGAAAGTTTTTCCTTCTAACTTCCAATTGCCAAAATTCAACTCAGTGCTAGGGTGGCTATGGCCTTTTAGTACCAAAGGCAAACAATTTTATCGAATACTCTCCCATAAATAAGTATGTACACATATATGTTTTATCTTTTTTAGCAAAACCTTGGTTTTTTGCATGATATATGTATAAATATGGTGATTGTGTATATATGTATTGTTTCCAAAATATTATGCACGTATACATGTATTTTAATATGTTTTTGCACTATATAAGACAAATATATGTCACAAATATATGTTTTTGTTCACTTTCAGATGCCAACATTTGGGAAATTGCAGCTTGGGAGCCTTGGACAATATTTGGATGAGCCAGCCGTGAGTAAAAAATGTAGGTTTTTACGGGATAACGAATGGGTTAAGGATAAAGACAGGCAAAAAGAGTATGGCTGTGTGAAAGAGAGAGTATTGATAGGGTGGTTACGAACAATGTAGAAAACCCGATCATCATGACCAGAACTACTGTACACATGAACAGAACTGCCCATGACCAGAACTACTGTCCACATGAACAGAACTGCCCAGATCAGGTCTGTGGGGAAATTATAGAAACCTCTACTTATACATATATTTTAAGTATACCTTTTGTCAATTTTGAGTACCCAAATGATGTCTTATCCAAGGCTGCAAACTCGATAGTGTTTAGAACTGACCCAGACCTGGACTAGATATGTTAGTGTGCGCATGTACATGTATGCTGGTTGTGTGTATGTGTACAGGTTTTAGACTTGGACTAGGGTTAGGTTATTCAAGGCGGAATTAGACCGAACTCGATAAGGTCCAGGACTGACCCAAACCTAGACTAGAAATGTATGTGTGTGCATGCATGCATGCATACGTTTGTGTGTGTGCATGCATACGTTTGTGTGTATGTGTGCAGGTTTTAGACTTGGACTAGGGTTTGGTCTATTGATCCCACAATTTGATTTGGATTGGTGCAACCCTTTTTAGAAAACATATTTTATCTCACAAAAAAAACCCAAATCCCAAATCTCAAAAGAAAAGAAAAGAAAAAACCTATGAGCCCGTAACAAAACCTAAGTGAGAATCCCTAGCTATTGCTACTCTAAATTTGAGTTTGAGCCTATATAGATCAACCTAAAGGTGCTTATTATTATACTTTTAGGTCATGACAGTCTTTATTATTATTTTTTAAAAAAAATAAAAATATTAAAACATAAAACCCTAAACCCTAAACTCTAAACACTAAACAAAATTTGTTAGCGCAAAAATCTATGTACAGATAAGCGGTGTGACATATATATAAAAACGTTATATGAACTTCTGCAACTGAGGTGGCCATGAACTTTGATTGTAGTGCTAGCAATCCAAGCAGGGATATTGAATGGCAAGATGTGGATCTCATTTACAAAGACCATGAACTTTGATTGTAGTGCTAGCAATCCAGGCAGGGAGCCATGAACTTTGATTGTAGTGCTAGCAATTCAGGCAGGGAGCCATGAACTTTGATTGTAGTGCTAGCAATCTAGGCAGGGAGATTGAATGGCAAGATGTGGATCTCACTTACAAAGACCAAAAGGCCCCAAGCCTCTTGCATACATGCTAAAGGCACAGCAGCTGGTTTAATCACACCACCAAGTTGTTTATAGATTTTTATTGTTATTTTACTTTCTTTTTTTTTTTCTTTGATTGGTGTCACTAGCTCGACTATGAACTTAAAATATTGCTAAATTAATTTAAAACTATCGCTAGATAGTGAAATTGGAGAGAGATAACAGATTGAGGGAGAAGGTAGTGAGAGATTTGGAGAGAGATAAAGAGACATTAAAGTGAAATTAGAGAGAGACTAGATTGTTAGGAATTTTAGGAGAGAGAGAGATTGTTAGGAATTTTAGGATGATAAGGTTTGAATGCAACGACCAAAACAGTTCTTGGAATAACAAACTCATGGGTCACGTTTTAACTGATACTCTAAGTAATGTAAACATGCAAACAAAAGTCTTTGAATAATGAACAAAGAATTAAAGATTTCAGCTCCCGAAAAATCGAGCGCTACGAAATACAAACATTTATACTTAGGAAAAATATTTCTCTAATGGATATAAATCATTGAATTTTGAGACCCATGATTTTTAGCCTTCTTTCTCGGCTTAACATTTGGGAGTCTATAGGCATTGGCCCAAATTTTATGGGAGAGAATTGTGGCTTTTTGGAGAACAATGAGAACCCAAGAATTTGATTCGAAGGCATAAATTTGGGATAATAATTAAAAAAGATTTTTAACATTGGTAAAAAATAAAACAAAGGGAAAATATAGAACAAGACCATTTGCCCAGATTTCAAGAGATAGAATTGTGGATTTCTTGAGAACAATGGGAAACCTAAAGTTTGATTCAAGAGGAAAATGGGAAAGTGGAGCTTCAAACTTGGATAAGCACCTTCCAGTGGGAAGTGTGCTTCCAGCATTCCTTCATATTACAAGGGAAGAGAATGGACGATTGTGAATTTTTCAAACTTGGATAAGCACCTTTCCAGTGGGGAAGTGTGCTTCCAGACTTGCACAATCACCTTCCATTCCTTCAGATTACAAGGGAAGAGAATGGACGATTGTGAATTTTTTATCATATGCATTGCTTAAATTTTTTTTTTTATTATTCATATTGGATTGACATGAGTGTATGTGACACATACGCACCTCATGAAACTAAAAATATCATTTTGAAAAAATAAATAAATCAAAATATCTTTGAATAATTCAATTGTATCTTGTTTGATTTTTTTTTGGTAAATCAAGGTCGATTAATTATTTATTTAAAAAATAAATCGACATTGTTTTACCCCTGCGCATAAAAAAAAAGAAAAGACCTATCATGAACTCGGTGGTGGTGGATGATGGATGCTATTCATGCAGTTTTTTAAATGCATGGCTCCGATGCACGCATGCAAGCGAAAGAGAAGCTTATCACTTATATTGTCAAAAATAAATAAATAAAACAAATAAAAGAGATCAGAGAGAAGTGAAGTTTATCACTTTATCTTGTTTTCTGATTTACGGTTTTATCACTTTATCCAGATATTAGATAGAAAAGATACAGATGGGGCACTATATGCAAAGAGAGACACTCATGCAAGATATTAGATAGAAAGCACTAGGTACGGATGGGGCAATATATGCAAAGAAAGACTCTCATGCAACTTAGGAGAAGGGAGGAGGGGTGGTAATAGACCCAGACCCAACCTAGAACCCGACGGGTAGACCAACCCGGATTGGGTATAGGTCCAAATATTGAAGCTGATGGGTTAGGTTCGGGTCAAAATTTTGGACCCCGAATACTATTAGGGTCCAGGTGTAGGTCATGTAGACCCGACCTGGATCTAATTCGAATAATATTGATATTTAAATAATATTTAACAGTAATTTAAAAAATACCGGATCGGCATAGAATTGCCGCATCCGACTCGGACTTGTTCCAGTTTTACGTATATATAGGAAAATGGCCAAGTTTAGAAGGGAACTAGCAGTTCTGCACAGTAAAACGATGATTCTCTATATTAAACGGCGATCCAGACTGCATTTTAGGGTGTCTGATCTAGTTCATCGATCATTTTTTTAAATCATTGATATTTAATATATGATATTTAAATATAACTATATATTTTAATTATAATATTTAATTACGAGTATGTTTTGTATAGAGCTCTAAACAATCAAAGTAAAGCTCACCTTCAAATAGAGTAGAGAAATGTGGTTTCAATACTGAAAATCATTGTGGTAGCCTTAAAATATATTTTCATCTTTATTTATAAAATTTAAAGCTTAAAAAATAATGTAGATCAAGCATATCAATGAAAGCTTGAAAATCTTGAAATTCTTGAAAATTGACGGTCCAAAAATGCGTTACAAGATGCACTATTTTCAAAACTTGAAATCCATTTTTTTGT